ACATTTAACTGTATGTTTCAATGAAAAACAGCTCCATTTCATTAGTAAGGATTATGGTCCTGATGGTATATTTACCTTTACATTTGTAATTATAATTTATAGTCTACCTACTTTCAAAATGAACTTTAAGCAGTTGTTTTAGTTTATAGCATAACTTTACAATTGTAAGTGTGAACTATTTCTGGTGTACATTTTTAAAGGTGTTTGATCAAGTTTTTATTCCCTTACAAATAACCATCTGTAAATATGGAGTTTATTTGTATGAACTTTGGAAAGGTATTTAAATTGCCTGGAAGAATAAATCACCTCTCTCCAATAGTGCCTTTTTTCTGATTTTCAAACTAAATCAATATTCCATTTTAAAAATTAGAATATTATTCTTTAAGGCAGCAATATAGAACAAACAAACATACACATAGGCATGTGTAAAGAATTTGGCCTTGCCCAAAGAAAGATCTTGCCTTTGCTTTGGGCTTCTGGGAGGTATCTATATCGTCCATGTAGAAGCATCTTTTTGTTTAGGATAGGGGTTGGCCACACCCAGTAGTGTGACCAGTTATGTGAATTGGGGTGAGGCTTTGGGTGATATGGTAGCAATCCACCTGGCGACCTAGTTAAACCACTTGGGCAATCAGTTGATTAACCATGCTTAGGTAATGAAGCTCCAATAAAAACTCTGGACACTGGCTGAAGTGCAGTGAGCTTCCCTGGTTGGCAGTGCCATATTATCACATATCGACAGTATGCCATGTTGATGCCAAGAGAGTCATGCATCCTGGAAGTTTTGTATTTGGAACCGTCCCACACACGGCCCTCCCTGTATGAGTCTCTTCCCTTGGCTGATTTTGATTTGTATCCTTTCCTTGTAACCTGTAACCATGAGTCTAATAGCTTTCAGTGAGTTCTGTGAGCCCTTCCAGTGAATTATTGAACCCGAGGGTGGTTTTGGGAACCACCTGAACTTGCAGCTGGTGTTAGAAGTGAGAACAGTCTTGAGTACTGTGTCCTCAGACCTTGCCATTTTATATACAGGCTAGATTTCTATGTGGGCAAGAGTCAAGGTAGAGATAAGGAAAATAAAATTGAGAAAAACCTAGCAAAGATGAAGAAGAATAAAGGTAATTGAGATCTGATGGAAGGTTACCTGGTTTGGGGTAGGGGGAAATCAGATCAGAGAAAGAAATACTATAGGAAGAGTGACTGCTTGTTTGAGGTTAGAGAGCTAATTTGCCTAGAGAATAGTTCAAAATGTATCTTGGAAATTCACTGTTGAGGACTTGGAGGTGTACTGTGTGAATTAGGAGAATAAAATCTTCCTTTTGGTAATTTGATCAAAATCAGGCTATCCTTGCCTGCTTCTTCCCTCTGTGGACCCTTTGTTCAGCCTCCTTCACTATTCCCTTCAACTTCTTATCCTGAAACTTTAAATTGGAAGGCTGTTTATGGGGAAGGAGCAACAAAGGGAGATATTATGGGGGAAGGGGAAGTTGGGGAACAGATAAAAGATATCCTTTTCTTGACTGACTTATTACTTCCTCTTTTGTATGAACAATATATACTTCAGTTTTTTTGGAAAACTTAATCACACTGCGAACAGTTATTTTATTTTGATTTGCTTACTGAATTGTGAGGCCTTTAAGCCAGACATGTTTGCTATTTCTCACTAGCCAGCTAAAGAAAGAAAGAAATATTGATCGAATTCCTGTTGTATTACATAAAAATATTTTGATAAAGAAGTACTTTCTCACTCATTAAGTTAATAATTATGACTTTTTATTGTAATGTTAAATAAAACTGACAAATCGCTCTTTTAGTGGACTCTAAATAACATAGTGGTGTGATACCTATCATCATCCATTTCCAAAAATACATGAATAAGCTTTCTTTTTTTTAAAGTTTAACAAAACCTTGCTTAAATTATTGGGGTGACATTGGTTAATAGGATCATATAGGTTTCAAGTGTAGATTTCTATGATATAATATCTGTATATTGCACTGTGTTAAATAAAACTCTTCTTTAACATTTAAAATTTTATATTTTTTCTGTTGAACTTTGTATTTATGTTATGCTTTTCCTCACCAGATTTTATCCTTATGTAATGTATTTTTATGTAGGAATTATATTTTGCATGTAGTGTATTATGAAAGTAATATATTTTATGCATTAAAGCCTTTATGCATATTGATCACCCTGCCATGGCTCTTCACTAAAAATAGGTATGTAGATTGAATTTAAAAAATATCTCCTAGTCATTCAATTATAATTAGCATGTAGTTAGTAAAACAACATAAATGTATTAAAATGTTGTTAAGTAATTATGAAACAGAAGAAAATGAAGTTATTGGAAATGCGTCTTTTGATGACATGGGTGAAGCTAATCTTTAATTATTTTTAGTTAACCTTTTGTGGATAAATAGTACACATTACTGCAATAAGACAATGTTCAGCATCATTTTATTTCCCTTTTTCCATTTAGAGGTATAAGTGCTGAGAAAAAGTTGATATAATTAATTGGAGGGTAATAGACAGATTTTTGTTTCAGCTTTATCACTCAATTATTTGAACTCTATCATAAAAATTACTTTTATTTGTCAGCTGGTAATTTGATTAGGTTCATCTTCAATTTTGTTGGAAGCAAAGTAGGCCCTCCCTCCCCCAGCTGCCGGCACCGGCTCCCCTCTGGCACCCTGGACCCTGGCTCCCCTCCAACCGTCGGCAGGCACCCAGAACCTGGGCTCCCCTCCGGCCGCTGGCAGGCACCTGGGACCCGGGCTTCCCTCACAGCCCCGGCTTCATCAGGAAGGTCGTCCGGAAGGACGTCCAGTCTAATTAGAATATTATGCTTTTATTATTATAGATTAGAGGTTGGAAGCAAAGAATTAGAAACCACCTGACTTGGTCATTTATTAGAGTCATTAGAGACATGCAGTTCTGGGAAGTGTACCAAAATTGGCTTTATTAAGGCTTTTAAAATAACTAGTAATTATGTCTATTGGTTTTTTCTTATAGTTGTATGCTGACCTTAACAGTTCAGGAGGTGATGGTAAAAGTTAAATATTGTTCATTTCAATATGCCTTTGACAAAAGGATTCTTTTTTGGATAAAATGTTTTTTATCAAGTACCTTAAATTTGTTTTAATTAAAGCTATTCATTCAGTTTAAGGCCTTGGAACCTTTTTGGCAAAATTGTTCTTCATTGTCAAACCAATCAGATTTATTTTCATGATAGAAAAGGTCTGGCCTCATTTTTCAGTTCAAATTAATGGCTTGATTCTGTTTCTGTGACAACCATCTTTGATATTTAATCCTCGATAGATAAATGGAAGAGCAAGGAGCCTTTTTTTTTTTTTTTAAAGTTTGTTTCCTAGAAGAAATAAGGTGACACTTGTCTTTCCTGTTTCTTATTGGAAACTGTCTCACAGTTGTTTAACAGGACTCTTTCTGAAAAGTAATACATTCTCTGGTGATGAATATGGGATGAAAGAGAGAAACTGTTTAAATAAAATTGCAACCAACTTCTGCCCCATTCCATTATGTGTCTGCAAATAGAACACACTATCACAGTTCCCCATTTATAATTTCTGGCTTCATTTTTTATAGAAATAATGTATAAAACAGGAACTTTGTAGTCAGTTTGTGGTATTAAAGAAGGCTTTGTGGACAAAGTATGAATCATTCCTAGTTTAGTACTTCAGAGATTTTTACATGCTATGCAGTGCAATATAGATCTATTCAGGGTGGGTGATATGATATTCTTTTTATTTAGTTGGTAAAAGCACTTGTGAAAGGGGAGGCAAGAAAGGAGAGTCTACATGGTCACTCCACTTGGACCTCTGATCCATTGTCAGGTAGATTAGTTTTAGGAAAGGATGGAATACAAGTGGAAATTCAGAACCTGGGAATTGCTGTCCATTGTTTTTGAACCTATTTCAGTAGCGTACTTCTTAGAAATTCTGTTACCTTCAGCAGTACTTTGCAAGATTCCTGTTCTAATATTTATAGCAACTTCTAATCTATAATAATAAAAGCATAATATTCTAATTAGACTGGGCGTCCTTCCGGACGACCTTCCTGATGAAGCCGGGGCTGTGAGGGAAGCCCGGGTCTCAGGTGCCTGCCAGCGGCCGGAGGGGAGCCCGGTTCTGGGTGCCTGCCAACAGTTGGAGGGGAGCCAGGGTCCAGGGTGCCAGAGGGAAGCCGGTGCCGTCAGCTGGGGTAGGGAGGGCCTACTCTTGCACGAATTTTGTGCATTGGGCCTCTAGTTTATAGATAAGGAATTGAGACGTAAAGGGGCAAAATAATTGCTTTAAGGCAGTAAATGGTTCAATCAGAAACTTCAAAACTTACTTTTTCTCCTGTGTCACACTATCTAGTACATAGTCTGGCATACAGTAGATGTTACTATGTGTTTAATGAATGAATAACTGCATATTTAAAAATAAGAGAGAGGAAAGAAGAGAGAGAGAGAGAGAGAGAGAGAGAGAGAGAGAGAGAGAGAGAAACATTGATAGCTGCCTCCTGCACACCCCCTACAGGGGATTGAGCTCACACGCTGGGCATGTGCCCTGACAAGGAATTGAACCAGCAGCCTCCTGGTGCATGAGACGATGTTCAACCAACAGAACCACACTAGCCAGGGCAAGTAACTGCATATTTTTAATGAACTCTTAAATACTTACCATTGTAGTGGCTTCTTGAATTTGACCTGCTAGATCAGTAACATTATAGATGATTCACTACAGAAGAATATTGAAGATATCGTGTGTTGTCAAAGCATGGTCAAGTTGATCTCTTCAATTCTTGTGGTATGTGTGGACGTGACTAATTGAACAGCAAAGAACTTGGGCATTTTTTATGTTTTACAGATTAAGACAGAGATCTATAACAGTGTGATAGTACTTTTTTGATAGGTGTCAACTATTGGTACTATAATTAGATGTCTATTAGTCAAACGTCTTGAATGTTTATATGACCACTATATTTTTGTTCTATGTTACAGGTATTCTCTTAAAGCAAATGACCAAATCTTGGCTGAAGACAAGCACAAGGAACTGTAAGTGCATTAAACTCGAGATTGTACATAGTTGACCCTGTCAATGGAGTAGATGTATATAAATAATCTGATCTTTAAAATTATATGAACTATAAAGAAATAATTAACACCATGACTTTAATCCTCATAGGATTAGGATATTTATACTACATAAGATTCACAGGAAATAATTGTTCCTGTATGTACATTAAAATATGTAGTATTGTATTCCATAATTGGGAAATATGTCATTTCATTTTCTTTCTCTAGATAAAATATTAAATTGTCACTGTTAATTTTTGGCTCTTACTTAATTGACTTCCCCTCCTCATGCTTATGATAGAGAAATATATATTTTTTTCTTTTGTTGCCTTATGAAAAAATGCCTAGTCCTTATTTAGCATAGGTAAAGCATCTTAAAAGGTTTAAAATGTGAATAAAATTTCTTTTTAAAGATTTAATGTTCTTAGGGTTCTGTCTTTCAGATAAAAACAACTTTATATGTGATTCTGGGATTTTCCATCCCTATTTTGCTGTCCTACAGTGGTATTTTAAAAATTACTATCTCACAGGAACTGTGAAGTTTTTAATTAAGAATTACTAATTTGGGAGTTCTTTAAATTCACCTTACCTTAACCTTTTTAGTATCATTAGACTGTCTGAGAGGGAAACTAAAAATATTTTGTATGTTTCAATTTTCTAGCTTGGCAACCCCACCCTCCCTCCCCCAGTGCTGTAAGAAAATTTTGATAATCTTGTTATGCAGCTACCTCCTGTCAAATAATACTATAGAATTAAGAATTTGAGGAATTACAGGCTAACTCCAGATTGAGCCACACTTGATAATACTGTAATCCTACCTTTTCCATGGGGGATACATTACTAGACCTGCAGTGGATGCCTGAAATCACAGATAGTACCAAATGCTATACATATTATGTTTTTTTTTCATACACACACACACACACACACACACACACACGGTGAAGTTTAATTTATAAATTATACACAATAGGTTAAAAATAAAAACTAATAAAATAGAATAATTATGACAACATACTATAATAAAAGTTATGTGAATGTGGTCTCTTTCTTTCTATCTCATTGTACTATACTCACCCTTCTAATGATGATGATGTGAGATAATACAATGCTTACATGATGAGATGATGTGAGGTGAATGACGTAGGCATTGTGACATAACAGTAGGCTACTATAAGGTTTACTTGAACACAAGCATTGTGATACCGTGACAGTGGGTCTGGTAACCCAGAGAGCTACTAAGTGACTAACGGGTGTGTAGATCTGCAGCTTGGGTACATTGGGCCAAGGGATGATTCACGTCCTGGGTGGGACGGGGCTGGACAGCAGGAGATTTTGTCATATAACTCAGAATGGCAGGACATATAAAACTTATGAATTGTTTATCTGGAATTTCTATTTCTATGACTGGAAAAAATAACAATGAAATAAATTCTAAATTCACTAAATTTAAAGTGTTAATTTAATATATTTATCTATTATAAGATGAACTTTTTCAACTTTATAGTCATAATGGTGAACTAAATAAGCAAATATAATGTATGTCTAAAGGTTGAAAGAGCACAGTTTTATTTATTATTTTTTTAATCCTTACCCGAGGATATATGGTTTTTAAAAAATTGATTTTATAATAAGAGGGAGAGAGAGAAAGAGAAACATGGATCACTTGCCTCCCATAAGTGCCCTGAGCAGGGATTGAACCTGCAACTTAGGTATGGACCTTGACCAGGAATCTGACCTGCAACTGTTTGGTGTATGGCTGATACTCCAATCAACTGAGCCACCTGGCCAGGGCCACAATTTTAATAAATATATATATAATATATGAGAGAGAGAGAGAGAGAGAGAGAGAGAGAGAAACATCATGAGAGAGAAACTGTTTGTTTTATGAATTGCACTCCCTCTACTGGGGATGGAGCCAAAACCCAGGCATGTACCCTGACCAGGAATCAAACTGGTGACTTATTGGTGCCTGGGCTGATGCTTAACCATTGAGCCATACTGGCCGGGTGAAGTCTTCCTTCTTAATAACTAGTAATTACATAGCAAGGTTCTTATACTTGTTAGTATTATGACTTAATTGATTTGGCATTAGTTGATTATCTTTGTTCTTGTGGCTGCTGGCTCTCTGCCTTGTAATTTTTGATCTCTACACTAAAGAAAACTCTCAGTTGAATATGCCTGCCACTGAAACACTAGGTCTTCATAAGAGCTACTTATAAATAATCTCATTGTGTCCTTACAATTAAAATAGCCAAGTTCTCTTTGTGCTCAAGACTAAGCTTTTTAAAATACCATAAGATGTCCATATAAATAAAATTTAATTCTCCAGTTACTAATTCCATGCTTTATTTTCATAAAACATTATTGCTTCTAAATGTTAATCTGTTCAAGACAGTCTTGATTCATCATGATATTGCAAAAAATGCAGTGACACCATCACATTAGCTGCCTTTTGAAAATGTACCTTAATTCTGTGTGTATCAATAAGACTACAGTAACTCCGATTGTCTTGATAATACTTAATATATTAAATACTGTGTTTTTATTTAAAATATTCTTAGTTTCTGAAACATGGTGATTCAGATTCCACATACCCTTAGTCACCCTTGCTTTACAAACATACTTGTTATTTGTCTGGGGCAGACAGATGGCATTGTGACATAACAGTAGTCTACTATAAGGTCTACTTGAACACAAGCATTGTGATACCATGACAGTGGGTCTGGTAACCCAGAGAGCTACTAACGGGTGGGTAGAGCTGCAGTTTGTATACATTGGGCCAAGGGATGATTCACGTCCTGGGTGGGACAGGGCTGGACAGTAACGACAGTGTCAGTTGTCTCTGTAAGCAGGAAGGTTTTTCTCAGGTTCTTGTTTTCTAATCTACATACTGATGATTCCGGGGTGATTTTAAGTACGGAAAGCTAAACAATTAAATTTGTGGTGGGATTAGTATGAAACTATGTAATTTATACTTTGCTCTATATGTGGTCCAGTAATCAACTAATTTCATTAGTCTTCTATAGATTTTCTCAGTCTATTAGAGTTTTAGTTTTTGAATGGAGTAATTTAAAATAAATTAGTAAAACATCACTTTTCATTCAATAAATATTTTCTACCCAGTTACCAGTCAGTGTGCTAGGCGCTATTTAAAGAAAAGATACTGACTTCATTTATAAATGGAGACTAACTCTCCAATTTAATATTGCTTCACATTTAAAAATTTTCATAATTGAAGATTTTGTAATTGTGGGGTCTTCCTATTGGACATATCTACAGTTATGGAACCATTTTGTTTCCATAAATTTCTGTTTGTTTTATGAATAGCTAAATTGTATATTACCTTGAATGAAGATTAAGATAAGGAAAGTTAAAAGTTGGCTGGAGTTAGGGACAAATACCAAAGGTAATATAAATAAATTCAGAAGTATCCCTGCCACTTAACACAGGCTGAGTAACTTGATAGCTGAGGATTTTTTTTTTTTTTTGGTTTGCTGTACTGTATAAGGCATGGGGAAGGCCTCTTTAAAAAAGATTCATGTTTATTTACCTGACTTTTTAAGATAGCTGCCAAGATAAAGAATGAATTTTTATAAGCAGTGTGCACTATTGTAGATATGAGGTATATTTTCTCTTCAGATCTAGAATGAATTCTCTTTAAAAAAAAATATATATATATGTATATATATTGATTTTAGAGTGGAAGGGAGAAGGAGAGAGATAGAAACATCAATATAAGAGAGAACCATTTATTGGCTGCTTCCCACACATCCCACACTGGGGATTGAGCCCACAACCTGGGCATGTCCCCCGACTGGGACTCAAACCATGACCTGGTTCATAGGTCGATGCTCAACTGCTGAGCCACGCTGGCCAGGTGAATAAATTAGCTTTTTTTAAATGTCAAAAAGTAATTATTTTTTTCAGAATTACCCCTTTAAGGTTTAAAATTTTGTCTTGACGTAATGATATTACATTTCAAAATTTTGGGGTCAATTTATGATTATTACAAAATGGGAGAAAATAAATGAGTTATGCCAGGGGAATGAATCCTGAGTATTAGAAAGGACACTGTTAGACCTTAATCTTTGGTTCAGTGTAAAAGAATTATAATTTTTTAGGGAACAGTGCCCAATTTTTAAACTAGCAGGGGAGATTTACAAGTATTTAAGTGACGTGTTTGAGAATATGTTAAGAGAATATGTTTGAGACTATGTTAAGTTTGGTTTGAGTAACATCTGATATGCTCTTATATCCATTATTATTAATTTTGTTACTTAGCAGTTCTTTGAAAACCTCAAGATTGTTTTATAAGAATAATATAAGGACTGATTGCTTGTAAAGCTAATAGATTTTGTTGATGGTAAAATGTATTTGCTTAATCAAAAAAGGGGAAAACAATCTGGCAAGCAGAAAGTCAGAATTGAAATAAAGAACACCTAGTACCAGCAAGGTTAAATGGTTATTATTTTTCAGCTAGAGGTCCAGTGCACGGGTTCATGCACTGGTGGGGGCATGTCCAGCGGGGATCGGCCTGCTGTGGGAGCGCCGCTCATCCAGTCAGGTGAGCGGTGCTCCGACTGTGGGAGTGCACTGACCACCAGGGGACAGCTCCGTGTTGAGTGTCTGACCAGTGCGTGTCATAGTGACTGAGTCGACCAGTCATTCTGGTCATTTCTGCCGTTCGGTCGCTGGAGATATATATATATCGGTCCAGCGACGAACGCAGATATGTATATATATGTATAATATAACTAAATAAGGCACAGTATTCTAAATATCATAACCATTTTTTTATGGTCTCTTTCTTAAAGGCCACTTTTTCATATCTTTTAAATTACAGAACTTTGAATCTAGAAATGAACTTTGAACTAATATCTGTAATTTATAATGAAATTGAGTGAAATTCACAGTAATAAAGTGACTTGTATAGGTTGCACTTTAATGACAAGTGCTGGACCAGAACTCAAGTTTCC